CTTCTCGAGTGAGCAGTGATAAGAGGTTCGTCGCCGCTCTGCCGTAGTTTGTTGTTACCATATTTGTCGGTCAGTCTCGCTGTCTTGACACAGTGCTTTCACTCTTCAGAATTTATGCTCTCTCTCATTCCTGGTATTTTTGTCGTCTGTCTTTAAACATTTTCAGGTTACGGTTATATGTTGTTGATGGCGCAGACATTATACTATAGTTATACATAGTTACGGGGCAGATACCATACCATAGCGAAATGTTTATGGTGCAGACCTCCCCCTCAAGGGAGGTTCCTTGGCGCTGGTGAGGGGCTCTTGATCTAGGGAATTGGATCTGTGCTCCAGTTCCCTAAATTGAGCCTGAATACTTTCCATCCCCCCCCCTACGTGCGCTGTATAACCCTACGGGTTTAGCGCTCCCCCATGATTACAATAATGGTGCAGGCCGTAGCAGTTACATATACTGCTTGTGGTGCAAACACCATATCACAGCCATATATTGTGAAAACATATCACACGTTCATAGTGCAAATGCATGTTTATGGTACAACCACCATACCATATCCACATATATTTAAGGTGCAGACATCATACTACAGCCACATACTCTAATATATTTTATATATTACAATATCATTATAGTCAATGCAGTTTCTCACCTTTCAAGATGTACTCCATCTCTGGTCTTTTCTCTCTCCTCAGGATAGACCCACAAACATAGCTGTTTGGAGCCTTTATTGCAAACGCCAAGACAGTGGATGAAACGTCATCATTAACGGCTTCATATTGCATTTGTGTTTCGTCATCATCGTGTCGGCATCCCAAAACAATAATTATCACTCTTCAGTTTATATTACCTGGGTTGATCTCCAGCATCAACTTATTTAACCATCATTGCAACTTGTCCAAGTCTTCGTGTAGTCTGTCTCCAACCTTTTTTATTTTCTCATTAGTTTCACATAAAAGTGTGTGGGTGTGTGTGTGTAGAAGGGGAATGTGATATTGTGTTGATGTGTCCGTGTGTGTGAGCATGTAAATGACTGTATATCTTATTGAATTTATATTATAATCCTGGGAAAGCAATAAACCTGTAGGGATCATGTAGTGCCAGGGAATTTGAAAGTAATCAAATTTGATCCGAGGAAGAGGAGGGTAGATTATAAGGTATTCCTGAAGGATACCGTTAAGAGGGTGCCACATTTTTTTACTTTCCTCCTATAACATAGTTTGGAGACAAATGGTATAAAATACCGACATGATGGAAAACACAAATGCAGTATAGTGCGATCCCCTATTGACAACGTTTCGCCCACACAATGGGCTTTTTCAATTCTCAGATCTACCTGGGTGAATAGTACATAAGTATAGGGTGGAGAGTCAGGTGGAGAATACTGGTAGGTAGATCTGTGTATATCATAGTTTATTACTTTATAACACCTCGTCTGATGAGATTTAAATTTTCAATGTTGATGTACTGTAACAAAGTAACACAAGTTCAAGTGAACTCTGGTCATATATAAACTAAATTTCTTTCCTGTGCAAATAACGTCAGTAAGCCTCGTCTGTGTGGCTTCAGACTTTCAACACTAGTGTATCCTACTTAGGAAGAAGGTTATAATATTACTGATGTGTGTAGGAGTCAGTTTGACAGTTTTATTTAAATTTTTAAAGTGTGTTACATAGCCTCCGATTTGCTGATTATACTACAGCCTCTCCTCACTTAGCGACGTACTTGTTTACCGACTACTCAGACTTACGATGGGCTCTCTGACCAGTTTGCATTCCTAAATAATATATAACAGAGCTGATTTCCTCTATTCTGTTTATAATATACAGTGCACTACTGTATAAACATTTAAAAATATACCAGAAATGTTATAAATGGTGCAAAGATGATATTAAAACATTATCAAAGATTGGCAACAAAAACCCAGTACAATGATAGTATGCTTCTCACTTAGCAACGAATTCATTTACCAAGGTGGTCTTAGGAACAGAACTCTGTCGTTAAGTGGGGAGAGGCTGTACTAGCAAATGCAGTTTTTGGAAAATACTTACCTTTCCCAAATCATGAAGAAATTATGCCACCAAGCTGAAAAATTAAACAGACCTTAAAAACATTTCAAATCTGCACCATGTACAGGAGGGCCCCACTTATACGGCAGGTTAGGTTCCAGGCTACCGCCGTAAAGCGGAAATCGCCGTAAAGTGGAACACCCTTTTTTTCCACTTATAAATGCATACAAACACTAGATAACAAGTTTACACTAACATATATAAAGTTAGCAATAGAACCAGGCATCAAAAAACAATAAAAAGGTACAATACACACATAGTGCACTCATTACTTACCTTAAAATATTTATAGTCTTAATCTAGGGTGAGACAAGTAGTATTTATTGTAAGAAATCAAGTGTGGTATGTATTGTAATAGCCAGGCTAAATCGCCAGGCCACCCCACCCACACATACTATTCTATGATATTTAAGCATCCCAGAGCGATAAAATGTATATACAGTTCACTCATTACTTACCTTAAAATATTTGTAGTCTTAATGTAGGGTCAGGAGTAAGTAAATGAGATAAAACGAATAAATGAGAGAGAGAAAGAATGAGTACATGAGAGGTGACAGGCCAGGCACAGAGTAAACAAACCAGGCTCCCACATCTTATATTTATGTTTATTTATTCTATTGTGGGGTGTATTTATCATCTTTTTATGTTATGTATCGTGTTTATTATATAATTTTGAAAAAAATATCATGGCTGGATTAATGAAAATGTGTATATTACCGTAATATACGACATTTAATGAGACTCGGTGACTATTGTTATTATCACCACTTGTGGAAGTCGTCTGCTACCACAGCTCACATTTATGTTTATTTATTCTACTGTGGGGTGTATTTATCTTATTTATATGTTATGCATCGTGTTTATTATATAATTTTGAAAAAAGTATCATGGATGGATTAATGAAAATGTGTATATTACCGTAATATACGACATTTAATGAGACTCGGTGACTATTGTTATTATCACCACTTGTGGAAGTCGTCTGCTACCACAGCTCACATTTATGTTTATTTATTCTACTGTGGGTGTATTTATCTTATTTATATGTTATGCATCGTGTTTATTATATAATTTTGAAAAAAATATCATGGATGGATTAATGAAAATGTGTATATTACCGTAATATACGACATTTAATGAGACTCGGTGACTATTGTTATTATGGCGTCACTTGTCGAAGTCGTCTGCTCACATCTCACATTTGTTTATTTATTCTACTGTGGGGTGTATTTATCTTATTTTATATGTTATGCATCGTGTTTATTATATAATTTTGAAAAAAATATCATGGATGGATTAATGAAAATGTGTATATTACCGTAATATACGACATTTAATGAGACTCGGTGACTATTGTTATTATGGCGTCACTTGTCGAAGTCGTCTGCTCACATCTCACATTTGTTTATTTATTCTACTGTGGGGTGTATTTATCTTATTTATTGTTATGCATCGTGTTTATTATATAATTTTGAAAAAAATATCATGGATGGATTAATGAAAATGTGTATATTACCGTAATATACGACATTTAATGAGACTCGGTGACTATTGTTATTATGGCGTCACTTGTCGAAGTCGTCTGCTCACATCTCACATTTGTTTATTTATTCTACTGTGGGGTGTATTTATCTTATTTATATGTTATGCATCGTGTTTATTATATAATTTTGAAAAAAATATCATGGATGGATTAATGAAAATGTGTATATTACCGTAATATACGACATTTAATGAGACTCGGTGACTATTGTTATTATGGCGTCACTTGTGGAAGTCGTCTGCTCACATCTCACATTTATGTTTATTTATTCTACTGTGGGGTGTATTTATCTTATTTATATGTTATGCATCGTGTTTATTATATAATTTTGAAAAAAATATCATGGATGGATTAATGAAAATGTGTATATTAACGTAATATACGACATTTAAATGACTTGATGTATGTAAGTTTATTTAGGTACAGGTATACATAAAGTATAATTATCAGAGTATATATAAAATATGAAATAACTTTTAAAAACATTTGAAATTTTGGAGTTTCCAGACAAAATGGAGAGACTTAGTGCTTACTGAGCTAATGGAGAATGTAAACAAACAGGGTGGGGCACGGTGACCATATTAGAAAGTCAGGTGGGGGGAGCCGTATAGTGAGTTTTGGTCATAATTTGAAATGTCCGTATTAGCGGAACGCCGTAAAGCGGAACGCCGTAAAGCGGAACGCCGTAAAGCGGGGCCCTCCTGTATATTTTTATGTAATTCACTTAAACCAGTGGTTCCCAAACTGGGGGTAAATTACCCCCTGGGGGTAATTTAACCATTTTTGGGGGGTAATGGAGGGGTGACAGAAAAAAAGTTATGAATTCTGAAAATCAAGAAAACAATGCGGTACCCGGTATGAGGATTATTGTTAACTTTGTCTTAGTATATAAAGTTGTAAAGTAAACCTATTATAAGTAAGTAATAAAGTTAAATCAAATAACAATAAACATCAAAAACTAATATACAGTATTAGAAAAGAAATATATAGCTAAGTGTGTGGAAACCCAAAAGTATTTTGACAAGTATGCTTCAGGACAAAAGTCACTCAGTAGCCCAGATCGACCTGTCCAGTATGCGTCACTCACTTCCTGAGGCTGCCTCTATTTCACACTGTCAGTTTATCTGTGAGTATCAGCCGAGGTAGACATAAGCTGGTATGAAGCCAAGAATTCCTAAACTAGCTTCAAGTATGCAACTCCATCCATCCCACTGATGTTCTTGACATCTTTGGTAATAGTCATTAGAGATTCACAATGTTCAAATACAATAAATAAAAGAAAATATCTCAAGTGTTTTAATTTAGCCATATATATCAATAATAACAACATTTTGTGAAAGGGGTAACATGCTTTATGTGGCATGTTAAATTGGGTAACAAGCTGAAAAAGTTTGGGAACCACTGACTTAAACCATTTAAGAGATAATTACTTGCATTTACTGTCACATAACTCTACGGGAGTTGAACGCCAAGCATAGCTGATTGATTGTCTTGTATAATTGGGTTCATAATTATATACCAGTCTCTCTGGTATGTAATTATGATACCGGCACCAGTCTCACTACAATAAAAGACCTTTATAAATTTCTCCTTTCTTGCATTCCACATATATGTAAATTTTATTTACAACCATTATCAAATTATTTGCTGTATAGTCCTTGTGGCTTAGTGCTTCTTTTTGATTATAATAATAATAATAAATTCGAAGTATTTTCCACATTCTGCAATGCCCATTTATAATTTGTTGAGCGTCATTGGCTGTGTCAGCAAATTTAATGGCTAGAGACCCCTACTTCTAACCACAATCCACTCAAACCTCATGACCATATTATGGTAATGACTCATGAAATCGTAACAACGGTATGGGTGGGGTTTGAACCCATGACGAATGAATCGTAAAGCTCCAGGCCAGTGCATAAGCCATTGGGCCAACTGGCTACAGTAAGATTCGTTCAACTAGGTATATTTATACACCATAGGGAGGTCAGCATAGGCCCCACTGTGACCACAAATGCAAGTTTTTACAGATGAATCTCTTGCCAGCATGGCCGTAATGAACTAATGTCCCCTCAAAGAAACTGGCCTGGGGTTTTACAACTCGCTTGTCATGAGTTCTAAATCCACCGTACTGTGGTTTATGGCAATTATGTTGAGGGTGGGAAAGGAAATAGAAAACTATCATTCTGGCATTGAAACCATTTCCATTTCTCCAAATGCTAATACAGTGGACCCCCGGTTAACGATATTTTTTCACTCCATAAGTATGTTCAGGTGCCAGTACTGACCGAATTTATTCCCATAAGGAATATTGTGAAGTAGATTAGTCCATTTCAGACCCCCAAACATACACGTACAAACGCACTTACATAAATACACTTACATAATTGGTCGCATTCGGAGGTAATCGTTATGCGGGGGTCCACTGTACTAAACTTTATTATAATTACAATCAAAACGAAGCATGCTAAACCCACAAGGGTCATACAGCACTGGATGTTTTCAAGATGTAATATGGGAATATCAGAGATCAGCAAGGGTGAGGAGTATGCAAGAGGCAGAGTCAATAAAGTTGTGACCAGGAAACTCTGATATGCACACATTCATTGTGTTATCCTTATATGTAGTACCAATGCAAGTGCCTTCTACATTTTATGAATATTTCTGAAGATAAATCAAGGTGGCTTAAAATGAGATCAGAGATATTTTTGGATATTTATGAATCAAAATTTCCCTGGAGTACCTTGTAAAGTTAATATTAAGGACAGGTGTGGGATGTAAGTTATAAACAACACATAAATTTAACCAACACACATTGAAGTAAAATTTCAAACTAAAATAACCATAGTGTAAATTATTTCATAAAGTTAAGTACACAGAGTATATCAAAAGCTAAAAAGTTACAATAAATGAAATATTTTTGTTCATGGTGTAGGAAGTATTAATACTATTGAATCATTATAATTAAATTTTTAATCTTTTTTTTCACTCGGTATACAATTATTTTTATGGTGTGAAATTAAATTTTTCATTAATAAATTAAGCTTCAATATTGTATATAAAAATATCATGTATGAAACAAATGAACTAGCATTTTAACCTTCCTATTTTTCTTAGGTTACACAAAATTAGTTGTACATTAAGTATCAAGAATTTTGTATCGATAATAAACTGACTACATATATAAAGAAAATCAAGACATTAAACAAAATTTCTTCTTTTGAATTTTCTCATTCATTTAGTTTCCAAATTGCTTAACTGAAAAATAAAATAATCCTTCTATTAATGTACAGTATATTCACTTTTGTGTAAATGTAATTAGAAATATCTTTAAAAAATCACATTGGCTTAGCGCTTCTTTTTGATAATTTAAAAAATCACTACCAACCATATATTACACACTTGTGGGACTATCAGAGTGATAGTATGGACGTTTTTGATGTAGGCAGAATCAAAGAAAAGGCCCTCCCAAGGGATGGTCTGAGCACAATCTTTGGGGAAAATGGTTCCTGTAAAAACCCCTACAGGTTACTTTACAAGGAGTCCTTCCCCAGGTTGCATTAACTACACCCTCGCAGAGGACATAACCTTTGCCCTCCACCTAAATATAACCATCAGGTTATGTACATGTTACAATTTATAAAAAAAAATACTCTATTGATACAGCTTATAGCATTCTCTATAATGCTCTAGACAATGATTGCAATATTTTACAATGTAGGATGATTCAACTATGTACACTGACCTATACAAAAAGAAATGAACAAATACAGAATAAAGTTTTGATATTAATTTAACCTATCCAAGTTAAAATATTAATGAAATAAAACACTATGCATAATGCATTGTGTGGTCCACTTGTTAAAGGTTAATAGATGAACTTAAAAAAAGCTTTATACTAACTTAAGTACAGTAATCAACTGTCTCATTGGAAATGCAGATCCAGAGAAACTCAGCAGATGTATAATAAAACTGTCGACCTTTCATACTGTTGTAAGTTTTAACTTCTGTGTAATCCCTCTTTAATATACATTTTGTACCATACTGTATTTCCCCTCAGCATCATTTAGATTCACATTACAAACCATATACTTGCTGTACTCGACAAGCATTTGTTCTATAGTTAGTAAGATGTAGAATTGCATAACTTATCAAGAGTGTATTGACACTGGCCTTCATAGATAGGCCAGAGTATGCTGTAAGAGCTTGTGCTAAAAATGTTAACAGATGTACGTTAAAATTTTTTTAAATAAATACTTGCATCTTTCAGGGCTACATAGTTTTGGATGAAATAAGAAAATGTGCATAAATTATACCTGCAGTGGTCTGATGTCCATGAGGATACTGACTGCACTGCAGTAAAAAAAAAAAGTTAAAATCGAACTAAACCAACTTTAAATTGCTAAGTGTCAAAAATAATTAAAACTTAGATTTGGACTCTAAATTCAGTTGTGAGACAAGTTAGATGTAAAGGTCGTGCAAGTGTCCAACTGTCAGCTTACACTGGAGTCCTCATTATGTCATCGCCCGCCGCTCGTACTTCTCACCTATAATTCCACAGTAATCTAATGGTTACTACAATATTCAAAGTTTAAAAGTAAAGCATCTGATAGTACCAGCTTAATTTTTCAAACAATGAAGTTAGATAGAATTATATGTAAACATATGCATTATATTTCATAAAATATTGAACCCATATGAGTCACTGTTTGATTATCTTTACATTTATGGAAGGGAAGGTTAAACCCACAGGGGCCATACAGTGACTGGGGAAATAGGAGATAATCATATTCCCTCCAAGGAAGCGAAAGTTGGGTTCAATTCCTTGGATGAAGAGCCCTTCACTGACGTGGAAGCTTGATACTCCACCCACCTGTGGCAGACTCAAACTATCTAGACTATGAAAACATACACTGCAGCTAAAAAAAAAAAGAAATGAAGCAAAGTGCCATGCGAGGTTCTTCTCTCATAGAAGACAAGGGGCTCTTGATCCAAGAAATTGGACTTGTCCTTCCCTTACTTGGATAGAACTGACTGCCTCTCATTCCCCATAACCCCTATGGGTTTAGCGCTTGACAGCAAATACGTGAGATACTAACCTGAGAACACAGAAGAGAGTTGTGCCTAGTCTGAAGAATGGTGACTGGGTGGTTGCTGGTTACTCACCCCCTATACCTCACCTAACACCTGCCCAGTGAGCAAAATCCAGTAGGTCTCTGACAGGCACGTCGCGAGCATGAGCCTTCACCCTCAAGTTGCGGTCCTCAGTCAAAAGCACCACCTCTCTGTATAACCTCCTCACACCAGCTGAAAAATATGAAAAAAATGTTTATACATTCGAAAATCGCGTCAAGAAAAACAAAAAATTGTACTCTATTGATATTTAGTTTGGCTAAAGCCCATACTGGACTTACACGCTATTCACTATTAAAAAAGAAACAGAATTATACAAAGTTATAAAAAAAATGGTTCGGAGACCCCTCAGCTTGCAGTAATGACATGTGTCAATAGGAGCCACTGAGATAACAGTAACAAAAAAAAAAAAAAAAACCATGGGGTTAACTCAGATCTTCGACCCCTTGTAATAAGTCATTGGAGGGAGGGATAGCATTTATAATTTAGTTGCAAGCGGGGGAAGCGAATTTACCAAGAAATACTCCCCCCCTCCTCATCCGAAAGAAATCCAGTATGCACTTACTTTTGATGGGTCGTCGTTGTGTGTTGTCGCTACAGAAATGAACGCAACACGACAGAATCTTGTCATCGTTAGTTGCATCCTACCAGGAGAGAGAAATGTGGTTATGTACTTCACTGCATCTTTGAAAAGGGGGCACATAAAAGCAGACATATTAACAGGAGAAGCCTTTATTGTGAAAAAACATTTCGCTCAGCGAGAGCTTTATCAACTCATGTATCGAGTTAAAGTTTATACTAGACGAAACTTTCATTTTAATGAAGGTTTGGTCTATCTACGCATCTTTTATTTACACCTCGAGATAACCGAGCTCATGTTTTAACCTAACCTTAAGACAAATTACTATACGCATCTCCAGAAATTTAAGATACGGAATTATGACTAGAAACTGAGGACTCTGTCTTCCTCTCCCCAACATACCTAGACCCACTGACGAGAGGATGACTGAGCGACATGGTGGGTCACCCAGGCCAAAACAAACATGGCAACCACCAAGCCAATTCCAATACATTTTACTTCGATTACTCAGTCAACATTTGCGTAAACTTCCTCAAACATCAAATCATTTAAATGTATTCTGAGAAGTTCGCATACTATATCACGAGTACATTAAAAGTGGGCAGTATTTAATATAGATCTGACCATAAAATGAGCATTCATTAAAACACTTCTAAAGGAATCTGAAATCTTCTATTACTTTATGTATGCGTGTGAGGATTTTATGTACATTTTATACACTTCATGGGTTAAGTTAACAGAAAATGCATTTATAGCGGTGGACACAGCTAACGTTCAAGTGTGCGTTATTGGCGCCATGACGCATTTTACGTAACGTAATGCTAGGCGTCATGAGGCGTTGAGTCCTGGACCAATAGGAAACCCTCAGTAAGCATAATTGGGATAAGACCTTAATTGGGATCATCAGTCACAGGTGACATTCCACAGGGGTCAGTGTTAGGCCATGTTGCTCACAAGTGACATTCCACAAGGGTCAATGTTCACAATTTACATCAACAGCCCAAAGAGGGAACAAACTGCGACATAAGGTTGTTGATGCTACAAAAACAGGAGACAAGGAAGCTAATGGATGTCTTGGGTACGTCGATGTTGTGGTCGCAAAAGTGGCAGATGCAGTTTAACATAGACAAATTTCCTGTATCACGCCAGGGAAAAGAAAATAACTGCGTAACTTATAAACTAAACACTGCAGCATGGAACTAAACCCAACCGGATGCGACAAAGCTTTGGAAGTTCTGTTTAGTAGCAATCTGAAGCCAAAATAAGAGCATACAGAGATTTTCAACATGGTAATACACCGTCTGGCTTCACCAAGACCTATAATTACCTACATTTACCTGTAACATTACCTCTGGGTGGACTTCATTTTGTGCATCGCAGTTCTGGTCTCTATCATAATCAACTTTATATATACTAGAAAGCCTGCAAAGAACTATGACAACGTTAACCACAATATCTGTCATCTCGTGTGTATTATATTTAGGAAGCGCTAAACTCGCAGGGGGTTCATACTGCACCTTAGTAATGGGAAGCAATCATGTATGATCCAAAAAAGGGAAGAACAAGTCTAATTATTTGCGTCAAGAGCCCCTCATCGTCATCAAGGTACCTAGACGGGTTCTCATGGAAGTTACAATAAGAACATCGAAGGTACATTCTTTCAAGGCGTATTATTAACTTGGAGCACTAAACCTGTGTGAGGAATTTTGCACAAGGAATTATAGCATTACATTCATGAGGATTGCTATACCCTTTCCTTGATTCAAGGAGAGAGAGTTCAGCTCAAATTCCTTGGATGAAGAGAACTTCACCAGCGTCAAGCAGCTTCCCTTGAGTGAGGCTGTAGGTGATTAGTGGTAAGATGCTGTGTGTGTGTGTGTGTGTGTGTGAGAGAGAAAACCACCAAAGATAAATGTACTGATATTAAGCAGGTGGTGAACTCACAAGAGAATACTTGAGATAGAATAAATAAAGCACCACATGGCAAGAATGTTAGTCAAGTGGAACAAAGTGTCAAGTAGCGTCAGCGATACAATACCTTATTAATCTTTGCATTTAGGTTAGACTTCAACAAAAGTGAAAATGTTTGGGTGTAAACAGAACCCGCTTCACGTGGGCCACCAGGCCTGTTTCAGTGTTCCATTTAAAGAATAAAAGTTACAATACCGTGGCTAGAACACAAACTGCGAACAGACTAAGCAAAACGTAGTCTAGGCAAGCATGTACCAAGCAGAGGTTGTAGCAGTAGTTTGGATACATGGTGATGATTCATGGATCATCCCCGCGACCCGGTCTCCGAATAGGTCTCATAGTGTAAACGAACTACTGCAAAACAAGACCTGTTAGCAAACATGCAGAACAGTAATGATAAATGTATACTGAATGCAAGTAGAAGTTAAAAAATTTACCTTCTATCATGTACACACGTTCAGGAGACAGAAGGAAACGAAGGCAGCAGTCCTGTTAGATTGCAAAAACGTGCAATAAATTTACGTTTTCACATGTGTTTTAGAGCTTCCTTAAAAGATAACCATCTTGAAGACAGGGTTTGTTGGTAGTGCTCCCAAGAAGCTAAGTTTGGGTCAGATAACCGAGATGATAATGCAGCGACACTCGCACGTACTCACCACTTGAACTAATAAAATGTTAATTCTCTGTAAGTCTAGTTTTTGCTGGGCAGGTTCAGTGATGCCATTATTTAAAAGGTATTATGTACAGTACATGTTTTGACTTCACTGTACAAACTTAACACTCGGGTTAATTGTTTAAAGTAATCCCCGTGCCTCGCACCTACCAGAACCCTCACCTTAAGAGAAGATTATTAGAGAACCAGCATCTCATTAACAGAACCAATATCGTATTAAGGTTAGATTAGGATTGTCCAGAAACAGGATAAGTATTAAAACATAATTAACAGACTCAGTACATCATTAGCAGAACATTCGGTATATTAATAGATCAAGAACCTCATTAAGAGAGCCAGCACATAAGCTAACAGAACCAGAATCGCCGTTCTCATTAACAGAACGAACACAGCATCAACAAAACAAGAACACTAACAGAACATCATAACCACCACCACCATGTGATTAACAGAATATTAATAACAAAACCAGTACCAGGTGGTGAGGGTAACGGTGCTTCTGGTAACAGTGGTGGTGGTGTTAGTGACTCCGAAGTCGAGTAAACACTAGGACCATGGCGACGACCCCAGGAATGCACTTAACTCCCCAACATACCCCCCCCCTCCCCATTCCAAAAAACATCCTACACCTCCCCACCCCAAAAAAACACCACATCCTCAAAACTACCCCGACCCGCCCCGCATCACCCCAAAAACCCCACCCCGAACATAAATGTGTGTGGCCAAGTTCAACCAAGCGTCTGATCTGTAACACAACTCTGCCGAGTTGCCTTTGTTGGTTAGTATTGATCCAGCTCTTAAAGCAAGTGAGAGAGTGGTGGGTTCAGGAAACCTAACATGGCCAAGAACTCCACAAGAAAACTGTGAAATTCTTGAATTTGCTGAACTAACATACTAACTGTTGCCAGGTCTATACTAACACACTAACCGTTGCCAGGTCTTTCGGGGGAAAGGGAAGCAAAGGTTGTTTAAGACCTTGCTCAGAGGGACGGAACACCTCTCCTCCTCACAAGGGGTCATGAAAATATGAATATTATTACATTAGGGGGGGGGGGGGGAAGCGTTAAGTTCATACGAGTCATACAGCGCATGAAGAATGAGACAATCAAGTTCATTCCAATGAAGGTTAAGACCAGATCTAATTCCTTACATTAAGAGCACTTCACCAGCTGGCAGACGGTGCAAAATTCATGAATAAGTAAGTTGGAATTAGAAACCTCAAGGACAAATGTTTCAGTAGTACATATTTCAGAGAGAAATATTTTAGTAGCACAGATTTCAGGAATAACTACTCGCGTAGTAAAAATTTCAGGGAGAAATATTCCCCAAGCGCAAGGTTGAGGATTGAATACAGGAATTACAGTTACCTCTACTTCTGTCATGACCGCTATAGCTTCAGTTGTATCTACCTCAATTGTCACTGTTGTAAGTTCACAAGTACCAACTTCCTCTACCCTAGTTCCAATGAAAAGCAGGGGAGCGATGAGTATATTGAAGAACACTCAGTAAGCGTAAGGTGATCAAGACTCTTCAGCACCCTTCCATCGTGCGTAAGAGGAATTGTCAACAAACCCCTGGTTATCTTCAAGAGGGAACTTGAAGGCATTCCTCAAGTCATTTTTTAATAAGTCGGAATGTGGTTGTGCGTTAGTCTGCATGCGGCGCGCTCACACACACGCGCACACGCACACACACACGCGCACGCGCCAACACCACACAACACACACACACACACACACACACACACACAACACACACACCGCCCCCACGCACACACGCACGCCTGAGGCATGGAAGACAGCAAATGTAGTCCCAATCTTTAAAAAAGGAGACAGATATGAAACATTAAACTACAGACCAGTGTCACTGACATGTATAGCATGCAAAATCATGGAGAAGAGTGGTGGAACACCTAGAAAGGAATGATCTCATCAACAGCAGCCAACATGGTTTCAGGGACGGGAAATCCTGTGTCACAAACCTACTGGAGTTCTATGACATGGTGACAGCAGTAAGACAAGAGAGAGAGGGGTGGGTGGATTGCATATTCTTGGACTGCAAGAAGGCGTTTGACACAGTTCCACACAAGAGATTGGTGCAAAAACTGGAGGACCAAGCAGGGATAACAGGGAAGGCACTACAATGGATCAGGGAATACTTGTCAGGAAGACAGCAGCGAGTCATGGTACGTGGCGAGGTGTCAGAGTGGGCACCTGTGACCAGTGGGGTCCCACAGGGGTCAGTCCTAGGACCAGTGCTGTTTCTGGTATTTGTGAACGACATGACGGATGGAATAGACTCTGAGGTGTCTCTGTTTGCAGATGACGTGAAGTTGATGAGAAGAATTCACTCGATCGAAGACCAGGCAGAACTACAAAGGGATCTGGACCAGCAATTGGCTCCTGGAGTTCAATCCCACC